GTCAGCTGTGCAAAACAGCCAAACAACTTTGGCTGTGAGTCTTTCATGAGCGACTTTCATGAAATACTAACTTTTTTTTTTTTTATCATTGTATGTGACATCAGCCTTAGGGGATTATAGCTACATTTCTCTGTGCTGTGATATGAATAATGTCTGTATCGTGTGCATTGCTGGAGCAATTTCTGAGTTTCCATAATCCCCCCCCCAGAAATCTATAGAGAAATTAATGTTTGCAAAAGTCATCTAAGCCTAAATTGAGGCTTTGCAGCAGGAGAATGTTTATTCCATGGTGGTTTGAGAATTAGGCCCTGTTTGACTGGAACAATTGAGTCAGCCAGGTGCTCCATACTGGACTGTAATAAAGCTCAGCGTAGTGCACAGCTCACTTCTCAAGGGAATACACGGAAATGAGGAAATTTCCCAGAAAACACTGTTGTCTGGTGATGTTTGTGGCTTTGGATATCAGTGTTTTCTGGAATGAATAAATGGATTGTTGAGGATTTTCTTAACCACTCCAGTTACTATTGCCTAAAGAAAACGAGGGTATCATGAACAAAACATCCGCTAATTATCAATACTTAGAGCTGCTTACACCATAGCCTCTTAGTCACTGCATAAATCCACAGTGAGAGTAAACTCCTGCCTTTACTGTTGCTTTTTTTTTTCAATTAATCTTTCTATTTGTTCTTTCTGTCTCTGGCTGCTGCACTTTTTTTTATTCCCTTTTATTTGCCATCACTCAGCTAACACCGATCCCTCTCAGTCAAAACTGAGGGTGAACATGAATGAGCCGTGTGTTTGCTCACAGGCCTTTAGAGGAACCTAGCAGCGAGAAGTGCCTCTTGGTCTTACAATTGAAAGCAGGTAAACCCGGTGGAATGTTTCCATGCCAACAGTGTGCAGTAACATCTTCAATTCACTTATTTCCCCTATAATCTAGGAGATGGATGGGAGACCTCTGTGATGTGCCTGGCAGTCATGCAGTCACAGTAGCACTGAGGCTTTGGTTTCCCAAGCTCTTCACACCAGTTTTCCCTTTTGATATGCTCGGATTAGTGTTTTATTCAGGTTTACTTTCAACGTTAAGATGTGTTTGTATCCACAAAGTGTGCACATGCTAATATATTTATAAGGGGGCATGTAGCTTGACACACACGGGTGCACACAGACAGTTGGTTTCTCTTTTTTTATTAGCATTGCGGCAACACACAAGCATCCACTGACCACGCCAGGAATGGAATTGGAACGGTTCATTGCATATAATGGATAATGAGGAACTGATATAATAAACTTTAGGGAAAAGGGATGAGGGATGGAGGGTTATGGGAAGGAAAGGTAAGGGATGAACGAATGGGGGGAGAAATCAGGTTTTGTGGATGGATGGAGGAGTTTGAGCGAGAAGATGGGAGAGAACCGTGTGGGCGTTGAGACAGAGTGGGGGAGCCATCTCTAATTTGCTCTAAGTTAGAGCCCCAGTGGTTCTTGTATTTAAATGAGAGAGAGAGAAGGGGAGAAAAAGAGAGGGTTTGGAGGTCAGAGAAGGAGCGAACAGTGTGCTTCAGTACTTTTTGAGATGAGTTTGGTGTGTGGTCTTTGTTCTCGAACCTACTGATAAAACTTAATTTGGTAGAGCAGCATTGGCCTCATCCTTTCATTGAAGTGAATTAAAAATGTTGGTTACAAGATGTCAGTAAATGCTTCAAGTAACCCAAATCTGTATTTGAATATTATATGCACTAATCAATATCTTTTGTATTAACAATGAATGAAAAGATGAAAGAATGTGAGAATAGTTTCTCACGATGCCCCAAGCGTGCAGCTTTACTCAGCTTTCTAGCTATAAAACAATATTATAATAACACTATTACAGCATTACCAACGGCATCGACTTCAGGTGCAATACTCTACTACTAGTTTAAATTCCGCAACTCATACTGCTGCAGTGCTTTTTTTTTTTTTTTTGCCCCTGCCTCTCAAACAGCCTGAGTCTGCCACTGCTTAGCTCTGTGAATAGACGGTAAAGGTATTATATGGACGGCACAAACTGGGGCTGTATTTCACCAGCAAACTGGTCTAACCACACAAAGGCACCGAACAAGAAAGAGCCTTCTCGAGAAGGCTCAGGTCGGATGAAACAGACTTTTCAACTTGTCCTATCAGCCGGTTGTCTAGGCAGTGGTGTGCTGAGGAGCCAGCATAACAAGGGGCATTAATACACTGGTGGAAAAAAGAAAGAAAGAAAGAAACTGAACTGAACATCAAAGACAACACCTTCCTGCCGCCTCCGTAGTGGACTGATGCAACATGGAGCACTTGTGTGTTCAGCTCCTTGTGTCCAACCAGCCCCAGCCTCTGCCAGCCTTGGGTTAAAGCACACACAGTGCTCATAAACTCTCCTTTATGCATATGAGTTAGTGCTTATATAACACTTTCATAAACATTTTATGTACAGAGACATCCTCCATCTAACAATGCACACACTGTGCCTCCATTCGAACATACTGATGGGTTAATAATGCCCGTATTTGATTCCTCACATTATTGGTTTAGTTTTTGTTAATGTGTGTTACAGTTACATATTCCATGCCAGTGTGTGCGTATATGTAATTGCTTCTCACATTTGTTCATTTTGTACATACGTTGGATTTTCAGTGCCTCGTTATAAAAGGTGCTACCACTCCGATTTTGCACACTCCCTTTCTTTTTCATTCATCTTATAATTTTCATACAATATGCTGAAACTGTAGGTTGTGTGTTCATATAACCTTCAATTTATTCTTTGCCACATTCCAATTTCCCCCACTGGGATCATTAAAGTTGCGTCTTAATCCTGCTGTGCACAAAGAGATCTGTTATTTATGATAAACAGGACTTTGCCAAACATCATTTATTTGTTGCCTCGGATTAAATAGGAGCAAACCCAAACCTTCGGCTGATAAATCATCAAAGTGCAGAGTATAAACATACACTGTAGGTTCTGCTTGAATCCAAGAAAATGCTTCAAATATATATTTTTTATTCTTTAAATCAAAGTAACAGCATATCTACCTGAGTAAAAAATGTTCAGTGCTCTTTCAGCCTGTCTGGAGAAATCCTTTTCATCAACCTGCCTGAAACCTCACATTAACCATACACGTCGTGACCGACAAGACCTTAACTTCAGCTTCTGTAACTGTTTGATGAAAAGGGGATAAAAAGAGCTGGTTATCTGCATTTGATAAAAGCTGAAGAACATCTGAATGCATAAGTGGCATTTCTATTGCCATTTTCATTGTCGCTGATCTTGAATCATGAATGTGAAGTGCTGCTGCCATCTACTGGCTCACACGGAGGCAGACCCGGGGCTGGGGGGGAGGGGGGGATACGAATCCTATAATCCTATTAGTAAAACCTGGCCAAGATACCAGGGGTCTGCAACATGGTGCTCGAGGGCACTCAATAGACCACCACTGTTAACACCACGACCTGAGGAAAAATTCCATATGAATTGGTTCAGCCCTGTATATGAAAACGACTAAAGGTGATGTGCTGTTATTCTATTAAAAGCATTGATTAAACATGAATATTTGTCAAATATACAAAGTATCCCTCCTGACAGTTTTCTCCCTTTAGGTAACTCTCACTCTTTAAAAAGGTTGGAGATCCCTGCTACTATAGATCTGTATAGAATCCAACCTACCTATGGAAGCACATTAATGACATTGTACCACAAACTGTTGGCACAACTCATTCTGAGCACTGGTGCTGAGCTTACTCAATATTTCAAGTTTGGTCGCCTAGGTCACCAGACACTAGGCAATTAACCGCACTACAGGGGACCTATCAGATTTCATTCATTTTGAACACGGCCAATATCGCAGCAGGTTACCAGTTCTTGGATGTGAGGCAAGGGGGTGGGGCAAGTTGTATCATAAGAATGCATGCTGATTTAGAAATTAATCCCTTGCTCTTTACTGCAGTGCCATTTATTATTATATGTACAGCTGCAGGGGCCCATTGTACTACTTCACTTCTTGTAAAATAACTCAGCTAAATGTCTTTTTAAGGGCAGTAAATAAAGGAATGTGAGCCTTAAGGTTTCTACCCTATATATGTCAGATCCATTGATGGTTATATTCCTTATACTTTCCCTCTCCATCAACCTTGTGCACCTGTTTCCAAGGATACCAACCCCTCCCCTGGTGTTATCAATTATGCAGATGCATACACATATTACTTAAATGATGAAAAACAAAAACACCATATTGATAACCGATGCTGCACAACAGGTGTGCAATAAATATCTTAATCATGTGTTACTGTTGCAATTACTGTTTATACTCATGGGCATTTAGAGACTATATTGTTGGACTGGACTGGCAATATTGCGTACACATTTGCATATACTGAGTATGCATGTTAGACCTTTTTTTTTTGCAGTAATTACAATTGCAACACAGCATGTACACCACCAAAACTAGTTGAGTCTACAAAGTCGCACATGTGTATTTCTGGCATTTATTTTGACAGTGTAACTCAAATGTTCAAATAGTAACCACAATGAATGTGCATCTTCAAAGAGATCTGTTTATGGGATTGATCAAACAAGTTGTGTACTTTATATTGACAACATGTACTCTAGCCAAAAGGGTACATCCGACCATGCGGGAGGATTGTTTTAAACTAGCTCAGAAAAGCAAATATCTGGTAGAGTGAGGAACAATTATTTACATTGGAAGTATATTAACACCACAAGTACTTCACCCGGAGATTAATAGCCTTTCCCCCCTGGAACCACTGACCGATGTTGCTGATGTATATCAATATTGTACAGCATAGAATACTTTTTACTTTGTGCATGAAAGCATGGCAATTTGCGAGTGAACTGTGGCTAACCAACCAGTATATTTATGCATTTTATCGTGACATTCACATCTTTGTTTCTCATCTTCCCTGTATGATACAAACACTGTATCCTGTATAATGTGTAGGAAAAAATTGATGAATAAAAACGCAGTACGTTTAGTTTGGACAAAAAACACATTTATTTGCAGTGCTGAATTATCCCATCTTGGCCGGCCTTCCAGACGTTGTTTGATCCATCTGAGGACGTGTCAGCGCAAGACATCTAGTCCAGCTATGTGAAAATAAAAGCAAATTAAGACATTAGTGAACATCAAAAATGAAATGTAGTCCCACATTCACCCCACCATTCAGTCAGAAACTAAAGTCAACTGAAACCTGAGTGCATTATTAACTTAAGGATGCTAAAAGCCTGAAAGGCTACACTAAAAATGACAACTACTCCTGAATTTTGTACATCACACATTTAATACTAAACTTTCTCAAAACACAAAATACCAAAAGCAATAAGAACAATTTCTGTGCATGTGTTGTGATCGTGCTTCGGCTGCAATACAGCATGAGGCCGTTGTTTACAATGAGCCATTACCTATGACATTAAATACTAATACAATCATCAATGGGGGGGCAGAAAGCACAACAGTACTTACCTTGACGAAGCCGATGTCTTTGGCGTACTGCCTGAAGCACTGGCGGCACATGTTGAGCCCGTATTTACGGATCAGACCGTGTCTGTTCGAGCATACTCGGCTGGAATAAATGCGAGAACAGGGTCAATCTACCTTTACAACAACAAAGTGAAAACATATCTGCAGCCATCACTCATTTAAAAGAGGAACTACATGTGCGGAAGTTGACGGAAACTAAGAGCCCATTATCATCTGGCATGCCTTTCTCTGAGCACCACGGCTAACCCTGAACAAATAGTCCCAATGCGCTCCGAACCGCGGAAGACTTTTATCACGAAGAAAATATACTCAACAAATACACCACTAATTCTGGAAGTGTTTTCAGCTTTGAGGAGTTTCAACAAGAGTAGTGCAGTTACAGAAACAGTCGCCGGCTAATTCAACACAGCGCTAGTATGAAGCTAGCAGGGCGCATCCTCCACCGCCATATTAGCTGAGGAGCTGCTTCCATGCGGTGTCCGGTTGGCGGTGAATTCTGAACTTTTGGACGCCGCAAACACCTTAAAACGGACTCGTTTTGGCACACATAGCGATAATCGGTAGGTTAAAGGCAGAACTGACCAGGATCGGGATCCCTGACCGAATTTTCTGGGGTGACTCCAATAGAGCTGCTGATGGCCCATCTTGTCTCTTTCGCTCGAGCGTTGGAAAGGAAGAAAGACGGACGCGCCTGCGCAAATGAAGCTTTCGGATGCCGTGTTTCCGGCTGTGGCGTTGTGGTTGGTCGCCCCCTAGTGGTAGAGAAATACACTGCGGCATGTAGCGGCGGGACAGCCTGCTGGGGGCGTTACACTGAGTCCGACTGGAGGCATTTAATGTGACACAAAAAGGCATCTAAGGGGATGAACTATACCCTGAATAGGACCAAAAAAAAAGTCTTTGAGTATTTTTACTGAAGCTGGACAAAAAAATTATTTTAAAGACAACATTGTCCCAAATGGATTAAATAAAAATTAAAAGAATTGATGCAATTTTGATGATTAGCTATAGTTGGTCATTAATTCCTAATGAAGTCTTTGTTTATTTTTTATTTTTAATAAGGTTCACAGACAAGAAAGTGCTGACACTATATTGCATATTTCTGTTAGGAAATATATTAAAAATATATATTTTTTAAAGCTGATAACCAGAATTTATCATCATTATATTGAGAATGAACAATATATATATATATTTTAAATGGTTTTACTTATAAGAGAGGAGTATAATTTTAAGAACATATTGCTAAAATTAGAGCTTTACATTTATGGGCACATCATTTATCTGTTTGTATTTCTCACTTGTTTTTGTACACTTTGAAAACAAGCTGCTAAAGCAAATTATAATATCAAAAATGGTCTATTGACAAAGGTGAGTATCATGACAATTAATAATTTTCTAAAGAATAACAGATGTTTTCTATCTATACTATTGTATCATCAAACAAAAACCTCTGGAAATGAATGAGACAACCCCTCCAGCAGATCACTGTGACAGCCCCCATGGTGATTTAACAAGGATGTATGTTATATTTTATTATTCTATATTCAAATAGATCTGTGTTAGATTCAACATTAAATCATTTAAAGTACTGTCGCTGTGGTTTCCAGTGTAGGGAATCTATACAGTATGTACACTGTCACTGCTAGAGCACATTATAGGAGGCTGGATGTTGCATTTAAATGCATATATGTATATATTAAGCCTCGGGATGAACTTGTGATGTATAGTAAACCTATATCAGCCTATGATGAGAAAGAAAGGCCGTCAGCAGCAGACATACATCATATTTAGGGTGTCTTGGGTGCCCCCCGCTGGACCAGTGCATTGTGGGACAGCGGCAGGCAGCGGTTCCGTATTTAGGATTTTTTTCTTTTCTTTTTTTTTTTTCCAGCTAGCTGATAGTTGCGTTTGCGTGCAGCCTGCTGGAAGGTATGGAGGAGAATGGGACGCCACCGTATTGATGTTTCTCGCTGAAAGGACCGCACGGCTACTCCGGTTTTAGGTAGGTGGTGTAAATACGGTCGTTGTGGTTGCGCCATGGACGCTGTTGTTGACGAGGTCTGGTCTTGGACGGGGCTGCTTGTAAGTTGCTAGCTGGAGCTAACTTACTGTTAGCATTTTTTCGGGATGCTCCGCTTGTCGTGAAATAGCGAAGCCGCGAGGCCAACTGTTGTTTTCAGTTGCTTGGAGAGCGTTTCACGGCAGTTGGCGAATTAACGGCGACGGTATCTTCTGATTAACACCGATGAAAGCTGTCACTGGCTCGGTGTGCCTGTCGGCGGCCAACACAGGACAGAAAAACTCACGGTTAGTAGGCTTCAAAGTGGAAACGTAGCTCATTTACCACGAGCGAGGACAACACGACAGACACAGACGGGCATTGTGTGGATTAAAAAGAAATAACCCGGGTTAATAAATACGGCAGCACTTTCAGCTGCAGAACACAGGTTTCACTAACGTAGCTTAGGGTTTGGCAGACTGCGAGTGTATGGGGACCATTGAACATGGAAGAGGCGTTCAGAGATAGGCTCATTGGAAACGTTATATTGGTTGGCTAGCTTTATCTATCTATTTTTTTGAATCTGCTACAAACTGTCATCAAAGTATACATCTGATATTCCTATTGCGATTAAAGTGCGTGTTCACTGGTAGCATTTCTTCTATAGTCGCTTATATTATTATATTGTTTTAAATTTGCCATGATATTACAACAGTGCTGGTGATCATTCAGTCGAGGACTCTCCAGGCAGGGAGAAGACAGATGGAGGGGTCAGGTAGGAAGCCAGAGAGACCACTAATTTAATAACAAATAAAAGATGGAGGTTTGTTCAGCAGATCTGGGCAGAAAGGGCCTAATCAATATTGATAATGCAGTTAAGGACGAAGATTTATGCAGGGGTAAATATATAAAAGCATGGAGCAATAATCAGCTGATAATGTAACTACAGAGGAGCAGCAGACAGAGTGAAAGCATGTATTAAACCATGTTTGTGTTTTTTAATATTGAGCACTGTCTTGTTATAATGTGAACTGAAATCATTGCTACTGTTGTCAGTGTGCTTCTATTAGAGCTGGGTTATCATATCGTAATAGGATGTTATCATATTATTGTTTTACAGATCTCTGCTGTCCAAATTAAAATCTTCCTAAATGTGTTAGTTTTTGTTTTTGTTTCAGATCCAAAAGCTTATTCGCTTGTTCTATAGCTTCCCATGGCATCTCAAGGTCTTCATCAGCAAATGGAGTTTGCTTGGTTGTGGAGCCGAAGCAATTATTTGATTAGTTGATACACACATAATTAAAGGGCGACAGTTTAAGCATTTGTTAGTTATAGCTTCTGAAAAGTTAGGATTTGCTTCCTTTCTTCTGGTTTATATTATTTTAAAGATTGTTGATCGAACCAAACGAGACATTTAAAGACGTCCTCTTGCGCTCTCAGAACCTGCGCCCCTTTTTTTTGCATACGTTTTCCATATTGTGATATACTGCATATTGATCTGATGTTATCATTATTAAGATTGTGATAGTGATTTCAACCATATTGCTCAGCCCCAACTGCTCATGATGCACCTAACTTCTTGTATCGATTTATTTTCATTTAGGTGGTTCATGCTCACTGCTACCCTGCTGCCTCCCAGCAACCGTCATGCCTTATGGAGTATTCATCCACCATCAATGACATTCCAGCTGGATCCATGTTTACAACAACAGTTCATTTTGCCAACAATTAGTCTCATAACAGCTTCCTTTTAATCAGGCTTGCTACCTGTGCAGAGCACGCCATAATTGCAAACCTGTGCTTCTGTTTCACTACAATCAACTTCTCTCACTTTGCAAGAGGCTGACCCCCTATCATGAGATTCCGAATCTACAAGAGGAAGGTGGTGATACTGACTCTGGTGGTTGTCATCTGTGGCCTAGCTTTCTGGAGCAGCGGAAGGCAGAAGAAGAACAACGATAGCGCGTCGTTGCCCAAGGAAGTGGAGACGGCGAGGAGAAGCAGCAGCATTAGTAGCAGCAGTAGTAGCATCAACAATCATATCCAGGTGCAGGCCACACCTGCAGTCAGCCGGGCACCTGTTCCACCTCCTGTTATACAAGCAAATGATACACACCAGGAAAAAGCAAAAGAGAAAGAGAAGATACCCAAGCCAGAGGTAGATAACACCACTCTAGTCTACCGCGGTATTGTCTTCCAGCTCAACTTTGACCAGACAATAAGAAATGAGGAAAAGTTTAAGGCAGCGCGGCAGAAGGACAATCTGGTTGTGGTTGTTCAGGTCCATAACCGACCAGACTACCTTAAGCTATTAGTGGACAGTTTGCGGAAGGCCAGAGGTGTGGATAGCATACTGCTGATATTCAGCCATGACTTCTGGTCCCCTGAGATAAATAAAGTGGTGGCCTCTGTTGACTTTTGTCAGGTACTCCAGATTTTCTTCCCCTTCAGCATCCAGCTGTACCCCCAGGAGTTTCCCGGACATGACCCCAGGGACTGCCCAAGAGACATTCCCAAAAAAGACGCCTTAAAGCTGGGTTGCATCAACGCAGAGTACCCTGATTCGTTCGGCCACTACCGTGAGGCAAAGTTCTCCCAGACCAAGCACCACTGGTGGTGGAAGCTGCACTTTGTATGGGACAGAGTCCGGGTTCTGAAGGACCATAAGGGTCTGGTCCTGCTGATCGAGGAGGACCACTTCATGTCCCCGGACTTTATCCATCTCTTAAAGCTGATGTCGGCTCTCAAAAGGGAGCAGTGCACTGACTGCGACATCCTTTCACTGGGGACCTACAGCCACATCGGGTACTCCAGCAAAGCAAATAAGGTGGAGGTGAAGGCCTGGAAGTCCACTGAGCACAACATGGGGATGGCTCTGAGTAGAGAGACGTACCTGAAGCTCATCCAATGCACCGACACGTTCTGCACTTACGACGACTACAACTGGGACTGGTCCTTACAACACCTGACTGTGTCCTGCCTGCCCTCCTACTGGAAGGTCATGGTGAGTGAGGCGCCACGGATTTTCCATGCCGGAGACTGCGGCATGCACCACAAGAAGGCCTCTTGCATGCCGATAAGCCAGAAAACCAAGATAGAAAACATCCTACAGAGCAGCGGGAACCAGCTGTTCCCAAAGAACCTCCTGATAACAAAGAGACTGCCAGCCAATGGAGCCGGAGGGGTGGCCCCACACGTGAAAAACGGGGGCTGGGGGGATATCAGGGACCATGAACTCTGCAAGAGTTATGTTCGATTACAGTGACCTTAATTGCTACTATTATATATTATTGTCTCTTTTGCATCCTCTATAAAGAAAAAAAGCCTTTTAAAAGTAAATCTTTATGGACTATTCTTCATATTGCCTGTTTTATTGGACTGTTCAAAATAAAGACGAATGTTGGATTTTTGGCTTCTTTAACACGAATATGTCTTTACATCAAATTATTTAAGTGATTCCTGGCAAGTCTGCTTTGTTTTGTAAGTTGTAATTAATACTATACTAAACAATATATTTGTTGTGTTTTCTCTAACGAGGCTTTCAGATTGGTTACTTCAAGTTACCAAAAGTGTAGGACAACTCTATATAGAGGGGAAATTAGGAAAAGCAGGCAAGTGCTCATCAGGGCAGTCATACATTTGGTGAATCTGTGGATTTAGCAATCCCACTGTGCATGCATAATTAATTTGAAGATATTTATATCACATAAATTTGCTGAGATCAAAGGCGATCCTTTGAGACACC